AAGCGCCAGCTAGTTCGTAACCGCCTATATGACCGTCTATGTGCAACTTAAAATTGCATAATTTGCCCCAATGGTAGAGACGGTGATTGCATGAGCTCGGGTATAGTTTATCTGATCTCCTGTAAGACGTGTGGTGACGAATACATTGGCGAAACGGGTAGACCCCTCTGTGTCCGCATGAAAGAACACCCAGCCNAGAAGGGTCCCGTTTATCCTACCCTTCATCTCAAATGGTATAAGTACAGCTATAAAACGCTGCTTAAGAAGGGCGGGCTTAGAGAATTCGGTGAGCGTAGTTGAAATACCACCGAGTAATCTTAAGCGCCAGCTAGTTCGTAACCGCCTATATGACCGTCTATGTGCAACTTAAAATTGCATAATTTGCCCCAATGGTAGAGACGGTGATTGCATGAGCTCGGGTATAGTTTATCTGATCTCCTGTAAGACGTGTGGTGACGAATACATTGGCGAAACGGGTAGACCCCTCTGTGTCCGCATGAAAGAACACCCAGCCGGCAAAAATAGACCAAATACCCCGCTAGGCACGCATAGGACCCAGAGACATAACGGGGACGACTTCGAAGTATGTGTCACGATCCTCGCACGCGAATCAAGAACACAGGCGCGAAAACCCTCGAGGCACTCTGGATTAATTCCAGAAATCCGAAAATGAACTGCAGGAAAGAATGCCTCATTATCACGCGTGATATTGGGCAGTATATAAAACTGCTTTTCTGATGTGAGAGGCACATTATACTTCCACGTGATTTCTGTGCGGTTGGTCTCTACGTGACATACTTAGTGGAAACCTCATTGAAAGCGGTGAGTATGCAAAGCTGTGTTCAAAGTGATTGAAATCTTGGTTTGGAGTTTCTTTGTTTGGTTATGGAGGCGTCTGGCCGAGTGGATTGCTATCAACTTGACCTTTCCAGGCTCTGAAGAAGGCGAAATCCGCCGAAACGTCAGCTTAATCGTGAACAAAGAATAGTAACACCTCGCGTTTACTCAACAAAAATACGAAGAAAATCACTTGATCAATCCCGAGGTTAATAGAAAGTCGGTCGTGGCAGTTAGAAGTGAGTATTTCGAAACCGACATTCCTTGAACCTCGGTATCACTAATCAATATGTATTCTTTCTTTGATGAGCTTACACGAGGTTGATAATGATATTTATTTATTTTTGCTAACGTTTCGACGTCTTCGTCTTCCTCAGATCCGATGATCCGAGTTGATGATCCATGCTTGTTGTTCGTCTCGACGTTGCAGCTTCGCCTTCGTGTCGAGTCAGGTCTTCTTCAGTCAGCCATCTTCTCGAATGAGGCATCCTCACTCAATGATGCCCTTTTATATACGATGCTGATGGTGGATATAATGATAATGTCCAGTGGTAACAGTTTGTATCTCTTCCGGACATACATCATTGCGCACATCGTGCAATAGTCGGTGTTTTTATCAGCTAGCACAAAGTGTAGTAATATTTCGAAATGATGTATGACCGGAAGAAATACAAGCTGTTACCACCGGACATTATCATTATATCCACCATCAGCATCGTGTATAAAAGGGCATCATTGAGTGAGGATGCCTCATTCGAGGAGATGGCTTCTGAAGAAAACCTGACTCGACACGAAGGCGAAGCTGCAACGTCGAGACGAACAACAAGCATGGACCATCGACTCGGACCATCGGCTCTGAGGACGAAGACGTCGAAACGTTAGCCGAAAATAAATAAATATTATTATCAACCTCGTGTAAGCTCATCAAAGAAAGAATGCATATTAGGAGTGTCACGGAAACCCTCCTGTTTGCAACTTTACGCAAATAGAAGTGCATCTTAAAGCCATTCGGCAGAGTTCTCCTCATGCGTGCCAGAGTTTACTTTGGAGGTAGCTTTCAACGACCTACAGCCTTGATTAGCTGGTGGAAAGACTTCCCGCCAGGCCATCATAATAATACCTCTCCTATCTTCCCATTTCAGCATTCGAATCTTGCTGTGCTACCCATTGCTCTCTTTTTATCTTCAGCTGGATGGCCTCACTGGGAAATCTTTCCTGTTTTTCGTGCAGATGCAACAAGATGGGCCCTTCTCTGCACAAGTTCTAGGTCAATGAAACATTTATATATCGACTATTGGCACAGGGATACCTTCCTTCAAGCAATAAATCGTACTAAAGCTTAACATAAAGCGTGAGCCACTTCTAAGGAAACGTTTTCGGTATAAACTTAAATTCTGTAGGCGCAGCCACCTCCTGAGCACAAATTCAATTACTGGACACCATAGTTGTGTCCCTTATGTTGGATATACACAAGGAAGGCGACTGCACCTCTATGCATCACAACGGAATCGTTAATATACTAGGTGTGCGCATTCTACAGAGGTTTTTATTGATACTCTGCATTAGCGGTTTAAGCTTGCAACACATCGATCGTGTCGGCCACCCATTGCGTCATTTGCTAGAATAGCAATTGACATTTCAAGAAAAACACCGATGAATCTTTTCGTATTTTTAACACTTATCGCTTTCCTCAACACGTTTTCTTCCAGTCCATATCTGTTCGTTTCGCTCACAATCGTTTGCGAATGTCAACCACAAATAGTCTGTAAAAATTTATCGGCTTTGTGGACCGAAGTGCTTTAATTATCAAGAAACCATCAGAGCCCATTAAGTAAGGTAAATAAAGTGGAAATTTCCTACTAGTAGCTGACTATTATTTTATTTCCGATCGCGGTTTGACATAATTCTCAGGACAAGTCCAAATGCTGGTTGGTGATTGGTAGCATACTCATACTCATAAAGTGATTGAGTAAAGTGTTTCAATGACTCTGTTACATTCTCAGCTCTTCAAGTGCTTTAGATATCATTCATTTAGAAAGTTATCGTGTATTATCGAAAACAACGCCGTTCATTATGTGCCGATAGCGATATGACGGAATTCCGAAAGAATCATACTAAGTCCATAACTGATATGAAATTCAGACGTCGCCCCGCGCGACAGATACGCAAAATTAAACGTCAGGCATAGCGCGTTCAAGTTGATAAAGCTTTTGAATGGTGACGGAATTATTCGAAGACAATACATGCTTTGCTATTTCCTTTCCTTTGCCTCCGTTCCATTGTTAATAAAGGCATCAGTGGTGTATACGAGCGAATATTATCATTATTAGAAATCTTCTTCAATTTGCTGGGGTTCGTTTAAAAAAATTCTACCAGTGTTTTAGCCAAGAAGTGTTCGAGAGATTCGCACCGCTTACCGGCTATACTGATTTTGTCATATAATCTGTTTCCAGTTGTCCGACTAAGAGTTTCCTTGACTGGATCCACAGGCTTCTCGAACGTGAGTTTTGTAGGTCGATAGGCAAATTTCCCCCATATGGCTGAAACACAAAGTTTGTACTATTCTAAGTACTTTGCACAAAATGCTGCAACGTGTAGCCACGATTAACAAACAAATATAAGATACGTTAGTAGACGACATTCTGTTTTATAAGATCTATGCCTACAAAAGTATTATCAAATGTTAACACCAGTTGAGTTCACCCTACCGCAGTCATCGATTTGCATTTCGATCGCTTTCTTCCATGCAACCATTGTTTTATAGCTTTCTGTGGTGATGTAGAAGCCATAGCCTTCTATTGTAACAGCGTTATTAGATGATAGCAGGAGCGTGTTCGGATGTGATGTGACTATGATACGAGATGTCTAAATAAACTGAGTTTGCACCACATATACTTTTGCATATGATCTTGGCGTCAATAATGTAGAATCCCTAACCGATGTGATTGGCACTAGTAGAAGCGTTTGTTCGGCTGAAGGACATTGATGAATGTCCGAATTCGTGAAACAATGCAGATTTCCGGCCTACACAAAGTAGCAATGAACGAACGACAAAGAATAAAATCGTGGACGAAAAAAAGTGATACATGCATTAAATTGTGTTGATTTCAGAAATAAAGCCAGCGGTTATCTTCAATAAAATTATAAACAGATTTTTAGTCGGTAATTGTTGCGAGTTTTGCCTTATAATTCTTCCTCTGAAACTTAGTTGACATTGATTATAGAGTAGTGGAATTGGCCTCTCTTATCGTCAAAATCAGTCATTTATTGATATTAAGTTGTCGTTTTGCTTTAAGACTTTAAAGTAGGAAATAAGGTAACGGTCGCGGCTCAAACTGTCATCGAAACATAGGTCATGGAATGGCCTCCGAATATACAGTACGCAGATGTCTCAGAATCTTTTGTACCGGAAATATGAGCCTTCATTACGAAAGAAGTCGAACGCACGTATCACTAACTGATAAGCATTGTCTAAAGACAATAACTGAAACGGCTTCCCTAAGAACTACTTTGGATGTGCAGAATTCAGCATTCAATACTCAACAAGCATTCGTCATCAATACGTCAACGGAAAAGTGAAAAACATCGTAAATGGGTGCAGCATTAACCAAACGAATGGCAACGAGAAGTCTGTCAGGAAGTTTGCTCTGTACCACGTTTGCACAACAAAAAAAGACCCATTTCTTGATGTAATAAGATATGGAGATTCCACACTGCATGCGCTGAAATTCTATAGAAGTGATGGAATGAAATATGGATCCTAACATTTTCCAAAATTGGGTTTCCCTTGAGATATGGCTGTGATAACTTTTTCGTTTTCTGCACATGAAACTACACAACGTCTTGAATCTTTATAAAATAGTTACAATAGACAATTGCAGCCACAAAATCAAGAAACTTCAGTAAAAATTACAAAGTTTATACTCAGAGACGACTAACACTTACTTGATAATCTTAACTCTTTTTATTTACTGCCTTTTTCTTCTTAATGGCAGGGTATGTTGTGAAATACAACTCGTATGAAGTGCTGAGATAATTGCAAAACTCCGGACCACAGGTGTATGCAGTGGGGATGTTGTTGTTGTCCTTACCGGGGAGCAGCGCGTGTTCGTTCCCCACTGCATACACCTGTGGTCCGGAGTTTTGCAAATATCTCAGCACTTCATACGACTTACTTGATAATTGATACTTGAACGACCCATCCTCAATGGCTGTGCGTGCCCTAGCATAAACACCATTTTTCGGAGATTTGCTGGTTAAGCCACTGTGGTTCTCTGGAACCCCGAGGTCAGCCTCGCCAAAGTCTGCCCAAGGTCTTCACCACCACGGGCAGTCGCAACCCTTGCGGATCAGAGGGAGATTTGCAACCATGCGACCTTGATACCAGGACGGTGGTGGATCGTAGTATTGGTTTACTCTTAGCTAGGCTTCCTGATGGAAATGCCGGACTCCTTCTCAGCTCGGCAGACCCTGCCGAGGAGACGAATCCTTTGCTGTACATCGCAGTCCGACATCCAGGAGTACTTCCCAGCCACGATGAGGCGGTAAACCGTTGGGAGGATGACTAACAGATAACATCTAATTCTTTTACTCAATTAGACTCGATCACATCACTTCGCAAAACTAAGTCAACAAGGTGTCAGGAATATAGTCTCCTATTTGCTGCTCGCTTTTCCTCTTCCTTTTCCCGCGAGCTGTTGGAGGACTTTTTGCTACCTTTGCTCTTCTGTTCTGTCGTTCCAGTGGACCTGGAGTGAGAGTCGGATCCCCTCTACTGGTTTTTGTATGGTATCCTTGTTACCCATGGTTTCTTTAAACCTGGTTTAATTACCCAGAAAAGAAGAGTGCCATACAAAAATCCAGCAGAGGGGATCTGATTCCCACTCCCAGCCCACTGGAACAACAGATCGAGGGAGGAAAGATAGAGAAGAGTAACTCCACAAAAGTTGAGCGTTCGTCCATAAAACCCTGCCTCATCAACCATACTAAACTGACCTCTCGCTAACCAATATAGCTTTTTTATGCACCTTGCCTGTTAAAATCTTTAAAAATTAAATCCTTGCGGAAAGAGCTTTTCACGAATTTCTCGCGTTGAGAACTTCAGAATCCTTTTGACGAATAAAATAAGTGTGTGACTTTTTGGAGAGTGTGCAGATCATAATAACTTTCAACCTCAGCAACGAGGTTATGGTTGAGCTGCGTTATGACATTTTAAAGTAGCTGGCCATTAACAAAAGCGATCACAAGCGCCCAGTAGTTTTGACTTAACCTAGATTTTTATCCTCAGAACAACATGGTTTGCCAGATGCACGGTGATGTAGACTTTCCGATAAATATCGAGAATCGTTCGATAGCTAGAGTGTTTCAGAACCAGACCACATGACACATGTTTATGGAAAACACACTATCTTCTTGATTTATGCTTGTACGGCGGTGATTGAAAACCAACTGTTTATTTTAAAACACCGGTACTCTATTGGTATGCTGTACCATTTTACTCAAATTTTTGTTCATATTTTTTTGAGCAAACGCGAGGTGTTATTGTTCTTTGTTCACGATTAAGCTGACATTTCGGCGAATTTCGCCTTCTTCAGAGCCTGGAAAGGTCAAGTTGATAGCAACTCACTCGGCCAGACGCCTCCATAACCAAACAAAGAAACCCCAAACCAAGATTTCAATCACTTTGAACACAGCTTTGCACACTCACCGCTTTACACAAATTTTTGTGTATGTGCCTTAATTTTTTATTTTATTTTATTTGATCCGTCTTCACGTTTTGTGCAGATTCCAACACTTCTCACATCCAATTCGTTTCCTTGCATCCATCGTTCACGAAGGTCTTCCAACTTTTTACGTGCGGCTTCGGTTGCTGCTTGAGGATCTTCATTTCATCTTGAATGTCTTAGAATGCTGGTCGAGCAATTCTTCCTAGAGTCCTGAGATAACTGAGCTGAAGAGTTCTCAATTGGATTGCAGCGAGAAATTTTTTCCCAGACAACTCAGCCTACCAATTTTCCGACCCCGAGGGGATGAAAGGCTTGGTTGGCTCGGAGCGGAATCGAACTACCACCATGCTCGTTGATGACGGGCATAACTACCACTGTTCTGTTCTCTTCTTGCGCCTTAATAGATGCCATTCAAAGATATATTGTAGGGTTTTTCAAATCAAATTTTTTGAAATTTAGAAGCCCTTCAAAAATGGCTAGACATATTACCCTACAGGAGTATGTGAAGCTAGAGGTACGTTACAAAGTTTAGAAAACAGGTACGCTACCACACTGCAGAACGAAATCTGGGCAGTTGTCACTACTTTGGAGAATACTGAAGATTTGCTTTTCATGTAACATAGCTTTCCCATGCAGCTTACTATTGTTGTTCGTAAATGGCAGAATGACCACTTCCCAAGAAGATGGATGGGGCGCCGTGGCTCGTAATGAGTGGCCGTCCACAACAAAACCTGACTGAATAGCGTGCGGATTTTTTTCCTTGAAGTTGGTCAAAGAAGCAAGACTGCACTAGCAAACAAACGAATTTTGAATAACTTGAAAGTCGAATGGGAAAGGATGTGTTTCCCATCGAACAAGAGCTCGTGCTGAAAAATGGTGGTGAGATTCCAGGGCAGCTTGAGAAGCTAGTGGCGAATACCGACCCTTATATCGAATTTTAAATAAAATTCCTATGCACTTTCTTCTCATGGCCATTTCTTGAAAAAATTATAGTTAGGTAATAAGTTAGATGAGTTCTGAAATGGGGGGTTAATTTTTAATCACCCTGTTTAATACAAAGACAGGGTGTGTAATAGAGATGTCCTGTAATAATAAACGCATTTCTGATTCGACTTTGCCCCTAGCCGAGCAACCCCTTCCACGCCTCTAATGCAGGCAAATTCTAGTATGTCTGCTCCCGCTTTCCACGGAAAATCGATTCCATTCAACGACTTTCATGAAGAAGACGAACTCTTTAACTGATAGGCAAGCGCATAAAATCCGAAGGTATTCAACGAATCCGGATACGGGGAAATCATTCAAATGCAACAAGTGTTTGGATCAGCACAACCTATGACATAAGGGAATGTAAATAAACTTATAACCTAAAAAGCTATATAACTAAGCATATTTATATATATATATATATATATATATATATATATATATATACATGTGCCTATTCTCTGAAATATTATTTTTACCTTAAATGTGTCTAAAATTCACATCTTCAAAAAGTTCAGCTTTTCAAAAACCTTTTTTCCGGCCACCGTGAACCATCGGTGGTCCATTACCGTGCCGTAGTTCACGAAATCTAGATTACACAGTTGCTGTGCTGTTCGAAAAACTCCTCTGCTAGGAGAAAAAAAAAGGAAAAAAACATTTTTGGTTCTGGAAATTTCAGTTCTACAATGGTAAGATAATCCAGTTGCTTTTTTGAAAATATGTGTGAATTTTCATGGATGTTGTTATAATTAGTGAAGCTAGCGATGAATTGAGACATCATGATTAGTTTTCAAACCGACTTCCATTAAATCTCGGCGAAAATAATCAATACCCTGTCCGTTACTGAACAAAACCGGGACTGATGAAAAGATCTATTCGGCTAACGTCTCAACGACTTCGCTTTCTTCCGAGATATCATTGTCTAAAGTCGAGAGACTAAATAATTCTAACTCACTTGTGAGTCTATATGTGAACGAATGTGTTATGCTACTTTCCTAAGATGACTATTTTAGTTGCTCACCATTGCTATCTTCTCAACACCGGTTCAACGATTTTTCCTCCCCTGCATACGCATCAAAAGCCTTATTGCTGCATACACAAAGTGGGGATCACTGTGTTGTCGACCGCGCAGTCCAGAGAAGTATAGTGGAGGTATACCGCATCACTTAATTGAAAGGGACAAACTTCCTTCAGTAAAGTGAAAAAAGAGTGGCGACATTCCCGATAGGATGGAGTGACAACTATATGTTTGGAACTTTGAATGACCGCATAAATTAGTTAAATCATCCTGATCTTCATATCTTTGCTTGCCAATATGCTTTACCTAGAATTTCGAGAATGTTGGAGTCCATAATTAGCAACAGAAAAGAACGATCTGAAATGCACCTGCAATCTTGTTCGGACATTCCTTAAAATTCGGCCTCCACAAAGAGGTTTGATGGTCAGCATTCCTTCGGCTAGAGGAAGAAGTACTGAGTTCGGTTGAACGGCAAGTCGACACAAGACATGACCATATAAAGGCGGACCAGACAAATCAGCTGAAGGAAATTTAATAAAGTTTTGTGGAGGATTAAGACTAAAGGAACTTTTAGAAGTATTTCAAAAATCCCACCAAAAGCGGACATTTTTAAGTCGTGAATTTTACATTCATCACCGGCATCGGTAAGGACGAGGAATGCTCGGGCTAGCATATTGAAATGAGTGCCACCCACTGCAGAGTCGCCACGAACACCATTTAGACGCTCCGTCGTGTTCAAACTCGTTTTCTAAACTCCAAAAACCGCTTTTATTTTCTCCTATACAACTTAGATACAAATTAAATTCATTTAGCTAAATGTGATTTTTGTGTACATCTTAATTACAGTCAGTTAACGCGCAAGGACACAACACAAGAACAAGTTGCTTTTTCATTGAGCTGACAAATTTCATGAACTCTTCTGAGTAGATAGGAAATCATAGAAGAATTTGAAACGTGAGCGCAGTTAAAAGCGCTTACTGTCATGTTAATAAATCATTCGCGGTTTCGTAATATAATATGGGGTTAAGGTATACCACATTTGCATAGCACTCAATGTAAAAGAAGGATAAAGCTGTCGGTGTTGATCAATCCCTGAAGGATCCGCCATGCATTCGACTTCATTAAGCATCGTTTAGAGGTGATTGGATGCATATCTGGCATTTGCAATGACCCGCGGTGGCCTACCGATGTATCGAGCCTGTGCTGCTATCCTCCCAGACATGTCTAGTACCAATTTGTCGACCCCGGAGGCATGGAAGGCTTGGTGGGCCATAGGAGCGCGGATCGATTCCACGCGTGTGTCGCAGTGGCGCCTGCAACCACTGCGCTACACGCGCCCTTGACACGCATTAACACTCAATGTATTAGATGAAAAGCTCTAAATATATATAGATTAGATGATTTGAAAGTTGGAACTCAAACAGCAATGCAATATATCCATTCAACAAGAAGCCCGGAAACGCTTACCACTTGACCGCCAAATCGTCTACCTAATGAGCGGGTGATCTTTGTTCGTAAGCTTCCGCCACCGTTCGAGAGTCCTAGATCGGTTCTGGCTGCGTATAACGTTATTTCTACGCAAAAATCGTCTGGTTCACTTTCACTGAATTTCTATCTTGAACAAAGAAACACTTAATAAACGCACTATGAGCTATAGCTGAGAAAATTTTTGTGACTTACAATACGAATGACTCTGGAAATACGACATCTGTCATTGTTCTATCGACATTTGTCACCATACTAGAATCAACTACTCGGGATTTTGTTTGGAGCACCAAAAACATCGAGTAGACCCGAGTTTCTAGAAGAATATCCTTTTCTTTCCACGAAAAAGCTATCGATAATAATTAATTCTTCTTCCGTGCTGTTTGAAACAAAATGGTGCAATTCGAACAAAATGTACCCAGCGTACCCTATAGTGACTTGTCTTTGAAATCACATTTGGGAAAGAACCTATTGGATTTTCGTCCACATGAAAAGTTATGCCAAAATTCCTTAAAACTCATTACTGCATACTAAATTAAGTAACGATTGGGCTTGCACGATTGTTCTTTCCAGCCTTTTATCGTCATACTTGTTCTTCTCCTCACAGGCAGTTAAGTACATTTCGCCAAAATTATAAATATTGCAGCATGCTTCCTAGTGCTATACATAAGTTTAATAAAAACTTTACTACATGACTTCGTATAATATCAGACAACTTTTACGGCTACTAATTACTACGGCAAACTTGATAACCAATAAGCGAAAGTAAAGAGACATGAAGAATAAATAATTACTTGGATACTTAATAATAATATTATAACTCCCACGTCAGACTTTCTATTAATCCCGACATTGATTGAATAATTCTTTCTACTTCTGTTCAGCAAACACGAGGTGCTATTTCATTTCTTTAATTACGTACAAGCTGACGTTTCGGGGGATTTCACCTTTCTCAGAGCCTGGAAAGGTCAAGATGACTTCAATCTACACAGCCAAACATCTCCATGACCAAACAGAGGAAATGCTGAACCAAAATTTCAACCACATTGAACACAGAATAGCTGCATCGCGTACTCACCGCTTTCAATGGCCCTCCCACTGAATATGTCAAGTGGAGACCAACCGCACAGAAGTCACACGGAAGCGTAATGTGCCCCTCCTAACAGAACAACAGATTTATATACTATATATATATCACGCTATCCGATATTGGACAGTATATAAGCCTGTTATTCTGATGGGAGGTGCACATTGCGCTTCCATGTGAATTCTGTGTGGTTGGTTATCACGCGACATACTCAGTGGAAGACTCATAGTAAGCGGTGAGTGAGCAGAGCTGTGTTAAATGTGATTGAAATCTTGGTTTAGCGTTTTCTCTGTTTCGTTGTGGAGGTGTTTGGCCGAATAGATTGCTGTCAACTTGACCTTTCCAGGCTCTGAGAAAGGCGAAATCCGCCGAAACGTCAGCTTGTAAGTAAATAAAGAAATAAAACAACACCTCGTGTTTGCTGAACAGTAGTAGAAAAAATTATTCAATAATATAACAATTCTTCCCAACGGTTTATTGCCTCATCGCGAAATGGAGGTGTTTCTGGGTGTAGGACTGCGATGTACAGCGCAGAAATTCATCCTCTGGCAGCGCCTCCCAAGCTGAAAACAGGTCCGGCGTTTCTAACAGGAAGCCTAACTAAGGGTCAACCAATGCCAGGATTCGCTACAGTTCTAGTATGAAATTAGTCGCGTGGTGGTAAATTTCTCTTTGATCAACAAGGGCTGCGGCTGCCTGTGTTAGTGACGACCAGGAGCGGACTTTGGCCAGGCTGACCTCGGAACACCCGAGAACTACAGTGGCTAAAACCAGTAAATCTCCAAAAAAAATAAAGATTAGCCCGCACAGTCAGTGAAGGCGGGCAATTCAGGTATCCAAGTAAGTAATATCATAATTATTTCAACATCTGCCGATAAGCGATTCTATTTTTTCGTCACAATGAATGATTTTTATCAATTCCATACTTTCAACTGGAGTAGTGGCGATTTCTACCGTAGAGCAAGCTGAAAAGTCTTAAAGTATGCAATTGTAGTTTTACACATCTTTGATAAGTAGGTGGTCATATCAGTCCGTTGTGATATGTGTCAAGCGATCACCATCTTGAAATCAAATCGACGATTCTTTATACCACATTGAGCTCCTTTTGAATAAACCTTCGTCGACTGTATATGTTTGTATAATGCTATCTTAAATTAAAAAAACGAAATGAACATTTTGAAACACGGACAACAAATGCAATGGAACTTTGTCGGGTATGAGAAGCAAGAGAGAACGGATAGACTTCATACACATAGTCGGAATTATCGTTGCGACAACCAGTGAAAATGAAACCATCGATTGCATCAATAAACGAAGACCGATTTCATTCAAATACTTACCACCTTTGCATTTGAAATGTTGATCTCTGTTCCACGCCAGTGGGACGCTAAGCTGTGATACACCGATATTCGCACGACACGGCTGCGGTCCACTAGAACAAGTGAACACGACACTCATTGATGTGAAATCTTTACGGAATACAGTGAATAAATAGTGAAATAGTATAATAGCACTTACTCGATATGAAATACATCGACCATGGACATGATTATAAGGTTGGTAAGTGAGAGTTAAACGATCAAAATGAGCATTTCTCCCCCTTAAATGGTGCTTATAACCCGTGCTATTGGACACTGACTAATAGTACAATTGTACTGCTGCACTGAAAGCGTTTGAACTGATAGCGTTTGGCGAAGACGACCACTTTTTATCTTCTCTACAAAGAACGATTTTCGAACATCGAGAGAGTTTTCATGAAACATGAACATCGACCGGCTGACTAGCAGCAGCGTGTTGAAACAATACTGTCGTTCGACGTTTTTTCAATATCCATTGTGTGTGCTGCGAATGTCTTTTGATTATAACTTAGACTTTAAAACAGAAAATGAAACTTTTCCTATCGAAATGGTGGTTACACGCTGAAGCATCGAAATGTTTCGCTTCAGACAGCTTCTTATATGCCTCCATTTCTAAGGATTCACGTAATTAGCTTTTAATTAGAGAGTTCTTGTTGAATTAGGTTAGGTAAACCCGTTAACCATGATTATGACAGGATACTAGTTCCAAAATGGTGGTTTTATTTTGTAGTATTAAGAATATATGAGTAGGTAGATGGTAATTAGTTAAAATAAAGACAATTAGAATCATCGGTTCGTTGCTTACAAGAAATAAACCACTACACTAGAAAAAAGGAATTTTAGTCCACTAAATTTCACGAAAAGCATTTGTTCACCATTTTTTCTTTGGAATAAGACTTGTGTTTTGAACACGAAAGCCGTTCAACAACGGCGATCTCGTTCGGCTCCGCAGCACATGATAGTATTCCCCAATGTGCTGTCATTATTTGCCGCCATCTACCGCACTTGTGTTCTGATCGTTCAGAATTGGACTTTTTTCAAACTGTTTTTGGGATTTTGATTCTAAAGACCTACAAAAATCACATATATGCCTAAGTGAAAAAAGTCCCTTCTATAGAACTGCAACGTTGAAATCTTAAAACGCTCTATTGACTGATAAACTATCATCAGCTATTGAAAAAAAGAAGTACCACAGAGGCTACGTGTGATGTGGGATATGAAGGATGCCCAAAAACGCCATCATTTGGGCACATTGCTAAGCAATAAAGCATTAACAAAATATTTCAGAAGTGTCACACTAAAGAAGCACATTGTATATAACTTCAATGATGCTGAGATATTTACAAAACTCCGGACTGCAGGTGTATGAGGTGGGGAACGAACGCGCTTTGTCTTTTCCGGGGAGTAACGTGCTCACCACCACACCATGCAGGTCCTTTGTTTTGCCTGTCTCTCAGCTAGTTCTATCGATCTTTTGCCATCAGCAATCACCAGTCAACGGAATTGATCTGGGGGCCCCAAATCGGCAACGAACCCAGTTAAGCTGAGGCTACAGTTATAATCACAATTGCACATTGTATAATTTATTTGTTAGGGTACAACTGGTTCTCGAAACTTTCCCACTAAACTCTGGATGTTAAAATCGCTGATTTCTAAATACAAAATTTGCATTGTATTTTTCAAGGAGAACACACTCATGCGAATTTAAAATGTGATTCATGAAAATTACGAGAAGTCTGTAGTATGAAGGAAATACAGTGACGGATCTCACTCACAAAGAGATTTGGAAACTGAAAACGACACAAGTAATTTTTCGAAAAAAAAAACTTACAGTGTGCCATCTTTGTTGGTAATCGGCATAAGGATGTGGCTCAACCGTTGAAGTACACGCTGCTTATCGATGACTAGAGTGTGTAGCTCGCCGCATGCGCGCAATGACTAAATAGTATAAAACACCGTCCTAACAACATTGGAGGCGTTCCTATTTTAGGGAGAAAACTGTACGTAAATTAAGACAACGTGATGTTCAATTCCAAGCACAGTATATGCGTATATACATGCACGTACCTAACGAAAATGGAGTTATCTCTGGAACAACTACAATAATGCTGAGATATTTACAAAACTCCGGACCATAGATTTCTGTGGATGGAAGCGAACGCGCTCTCACTCTTTTCG